AATCATTAAAAAGATATCCAAGTACAAAGTTACTGAAGCTTGTTGCTTCCAAATGGATGCATTGTCATTGATCAAATTCAAATTCCTCATTTTTTATGGTGTATCAACTCAATATGATCTAGGAAATCCAGAAATGCATTTTTTTATCGTGAGCGTACGTATGGATGCATTACGTGTGTTTGTATTATGCAAAAAAAAATTTCAAACTTCATCTTCAATGGTGGTTTAAAAAGTTTTTCTGATGTCTTACTGAGTGAATTAGAAGAGGGAAATAATAGCAATAACCGCTCTATCGATATGTCGGAAAGATTGACCGAAATTCGTACTCTGGAAATATTTGAATTCCGGATTTGCTGTGGAATATTCTAATTCAATTAACTTTGATTAAAGTTTAAAATGATGGTTTCCAAGCTGTACGATGGAAATCATGAGATAATTACCCGTATTGGTAATTTATATGTAATGAAAGAGCAGTTCCCCACTTGTTTCGTTCAAGTTTCCATACCAATCTACGTAAATCCACTGAATAAATACCACCGCCGTAAAAATCGATTTATCAACTGCGTTCCCTCAGAGAGCATGTTGTTTTTGCCTCGTAAATGTGGCGTAAGAATAATTAATGCATACAGGAGCAGTAGCTATCTTCATTCACTCTGGGTTTCTCGAGCCTTTACAAAATCTTATTGCCCGTTTGCGTGTCAGAAAATCCACAGTAGCTGGCAGTAGATAGTAAATTACTTTCGGAAGCCTCAGGATTAAAAAAATTGCCGTAATGCTATGAAAATGTTGTTCCAAGAATTAAAAACGAAAAACCAACGGAACTGTGTATACGGAGGCTTAAAAAAATTGTTCAGTTCTCAGGAACAAGATGAAACTGATCAATAGTGATTTGGATGGGGCAAATAATATTAATGGTCACTTGAAAATGCGAGGTGAGCGAGCCGCCATGTTTGAAACTTCTCGCAACGCAGGTAGGGGGTATCCAAATAAGATTAAAAAATGAGAATAAAAAAAAGAAATGCCATAATACACTCTGCGCGTAAAAAGATTTTGCTGGTTTTTTTGTAAACTTAAATTCCATTCCCTCGTCCCATGTATTTCAAATCCACTCTAACCTAATTCTAATCTGCCCAACAAATATTATACATTGTTTGGCCTCGCCTCCACTAAAACATCCCCGATTTACTCTAGCAAAACTCGAAACAACTTGTTTATGAGCCCCTAAATCCCCAGCATCACGAGTGTACCTTTTGTTTGAAACGTCTCTGGAGAGATTGCGCGGTGTAAAGTGCATCGGAATTGGTGTTGAAGAGATCCCGAGTGTAGACATGCATTACATTCTCCTTAACTTAGTCAGTAACTTGGTGTGGTAGGTTGGAAAGCACTTGGAAGCCCCAACAGAGCCACAATATCTAGTGAAGTGTGTCTAAAACTCGGTGAAATGGAAACGATCGTGAATGAGTTCAAGAGGGAATTCTTGTGGATTTCAGAATGAAAATGGCAGTGCTGGGGGTCATATCACGGTGGTTGCGACCCCAAAAGATCATTCCCGGGAGGTCCGAATGGTATCATCCAAGTTCATCGTAGATTTGCATCTTCATGTAGTGAAAAACGACTAAAGTCGTCGAGTCAGGTACCTGTGAAAGTTACTTTTTACTTCGAGGGGGGGCTTTCCAACATTTCTTCTGACTTCTATTCTTGCCCGGTGGTTATTCTCCCGCAGTGTTTTGCCGCCTACCGACAAAACGAATTGCACATTGGGACTGGAGATTCACTTTGTCGGGCAAGTGAGAGAACACCATTGGCAGAGACAACAGAGAAGATGAAATGGTGAATTATGAAAGAGATGAAGAGGTATAGGATACACTTTGTCGGCAACAAACGCCAGGACAATGCTTTGTTCGGGAATAAAAAAAAGGCTGAGGGGGAATACAAATGGAAGGAGTTTGATGATTTTATCGACAATACCGCCAGCTTTCAGGGGGTTTTTTAAATCAAGAAAAATGTCCCTCAAAATACGCAAGATAATAACCATAAATTTTCCACTTTACTTTAAAGGAAAATTCCTTGAATCCTGTGATATTTCTGTCGATGTGAATGGAACGGCCGCGGAATCGTTTCGAATCTCAAGCTAACAGTCTCATAAGAAAGTTCAATGAACTAGTTATCGAATGGCGCATAGTTATAAACTCTCGTTAACCCAACCACTCAAGACTCAATTCGGAGCGTCATTAGCTTAGTTGATCTCTCCGTTATTCTCACTGCTAATATTGCGAAGCGAATCTACGAAAAGGGTCACATGATTCGTTCAACATCCAGCAAGAGTGATGCTGCACGTGTTGCAATGGCTAGAAGGCGAGGATAATTCATTGAACATAAAGATAACTATCGCACTATTTCACACGACTGGGGCAATTCGTTTCAATCGTCCCTCAGCAACTCAAAATTGGAATCGCTATTCTTCCCCTCTCAATTCATTTCTAGCCTCATAATCCGCGGAAACACAACTCTTGTTTGTACTCTCGTCAAGGGGAACAGCAGTGTCTCGTAATTACTCGTAATTACTTTTAAACGCTTTAAAAATCGACCGAGTGCTATACTGCTAAAGTGTTGGCAGTTATTTCGTGCAGTTTGTCGCTTTTAGGGGAATAAATTGCTCTGAAAATTGAGTGAACGGTTGTGGAAAAATGTCACCTCATTTTTCAGCAAAAAATCGTGTATTGTCACAGTTTCAGGGGTTAAAAAATTGAACAAAACGTGAATAAACAAATTAAAATATAATTTACGCAATTGAAAACGAACAATTCTGGAGAAATTGATTGAATTGTAACAAGGAAAAAAGAAATAACTTCAAAATTTTTACACGGAAATTATCATTTATTCAGCAGACCTTGAGATCCACGTGGCTTTCATGAAGAACTAAAATAAAAATGAGAAAAACGAGTCGATGGTCGCACGAGTCCAGTGTAGGAATGCGTCGAGATATGCGCGATGAGGGAGTCCCCAGGCGAATCGCACGGAAAGGAAGAGAAAAGAGTTGAAATAAAAGAGAAAAAAAAATCCATTGAACAAAGAGGCCTGGTATACAATTTGCTGCGGGAAGAGACCGGCTTGTCTCACCTCTTATTATTCTGACTGCCATCTCGTCGACAACCACAAAACCCCGAAAATTTTGTCGCCAGTTAAAATAAGGGGAGTTTAGAGCCTAGGGCGAGAAGAGGATTGCCCTCGTTATGCTCTCTTTATTCTTATCACTCCTCACAAAACCAGAGAGAAGAAATGTGCTGGCAAAATTCCGGTGAAACCGCGCGGTTGCATGACAAAAATTCTTTCAAATATAGAGGAGACCGGGGCAACATTAAATAATTATGGATCTGCTACTCGCAACCCCAATTAAATTTTCAATATATTCCGTTATTCATTACCAATCCACGTAAATTGATTCGCGTAAAAAATCTATGGATCGAATATTGCAAAGATGGTACGCATTAGTACAGTGTGTAAAAGGAAAACCTAAGGAGAAAATTCAGTGAAAGTGTAAAAAAAAATACTCCATAAAATATGCATGTGATGGATTTCTCACATTATGCCCAAAATTTTTTACAAAAAAATATACTAAAAACTGGATGAAATTGTCAAGAACTAAAAATGAATGTAGAAAAAATGTTTAAGCTCTTTTGCAACTCACTGACCCAAATATCCGGCAACGAAGCCCTAAAACAAAAATAGAAGCGCTGGCCAAGACCCTTTGGAGGTAAAAATAAACGGCATAAAATGCAGCATATGAAAAAGCGGCGATGTAAAAATTCCCTCGTGAAAATAAAATTAAAATAAAAATTGGAGGTATAACAAAGGGTTTGGTCTAATGGAAGCCGAACATCCCAAGAGAGGCCTTATATGGCTCGTCTCTTGGCGGTCGGAGCAGAAGCAACATCAGAAACCCACAACCATGTACCCACAAACTCCATCCAGACCCTCTTCCCATTTTATCCCCTCGGTTTACCTCGCGGCTTCTCGTGGCTTCTGTAGATCTCAGGGACCCGTGGACAGATTTAGACCGAAAACTGAGGCAACTCTGTTAAAATTCAGACTCACCGGAAAAGGTTCTGCACTCCAATTTCCCATGCATGAAAAGACCATAAAGAATTTTTGAAAATTTAGTCCAAAAAAGGATTGGGTAAGGAACTTAAAAGTCATGACGAAATTTCAATGAACGATTCTCCGTCTGCCTTGATATCTCAACGATAGATCTAATGATAAATGTGTGCAATGAGTCTGACGTCTGTGACATCAGCCTAATCATTTATATCGCCTGAGCTAGATGCCACGGGGTATTTCTTTATCTAGGATATAGATAGAAAACGAAATAACGAAAGGAGATTTACTGATGATAAAGAAGCGACAGTTGGAAATCAACATTGAAGTAATCGGTTAATCGCTAGGAACCGCTATAGGGTATAATTTCATTAATTACGCATTCGCTTGATCAATCAGTTTAGAAACGCTGTTTTGTCTAAATTGTCTGATGACATAATTTCATTCAGTGCCCCATCTGAATCCAATTCACAACGAGAGGTTCCGGGGTACGCTTTTTTATTTTTAAGAGTCGCTTGATTCCAGGAGTCTGTGGTGATGAAAATGACCGAACGTGAAATTCTACGAGGAAAGGACTTTTTCCTTGCTCTAGAGATATTTTTCTCAGAGTGAGGGAAAGATAACCTGAGAACCTGCTGTCTCTAACTGCTGATCTATCATCTGACGATCTGATTTCATTCTGCCTCTCTCTTATTTCATTACTCTCCTATTTCATTCGGCAAAAGTGTCTTTCACATGAGCACTTGATTATTTAAAATCCAAAAATATGATGATGAACATGAAATATGTTCAAGGGCTTCACATTTAAATGAATGGCAAACTCATTTATTTTACGAATTGCATTCTGGCGATTTGCATTATCCGATAATCCTTCAATTATCTTTGAATAGATTAATTATCCTTACCGTATTAAAAACTCCATTGGCGCCATGTTTTCCTCCAATTTCCTTTCTCTTCGCAGGATTCTGCGCAGAAAATCTCCCCGGCAAGATCCTGGGTGCATTGGATCTGACCAATCGATACTCATCCCCAGGGTTCCTCTTCTTTCTTCTAAATGAACCGCAAAGCATAATCGCGAAATCAATAGCTCAAACTGTACTCCAATGTTCAAACTCGATGAAAACACCGCAATTCGTTGTGATCTCGATAACAAGATCCCGTTCCACTGACGGTATAATAACAGTTGTGAAATTAAACTAAGAACTCAGCCCAGTCCTGTGGTTCAAAAATAAATCCACTCAGCGGTTAAAATTCATCGAAGTGCAGTGTACGACCGCTTGTTCCACAAACTTCCTCTCCCTCGTGTTATTTCGTTTTCCATTTATTTTTCTCTCATTTTATCCACCAGGTCCCCAGGTCGTTCTCCTCCAGGTCGTTTTCTCTCTCCTTTCTATGGGTCGATGTGGCGCCAGTACAGGATTCCTGCATCTGTTTATTTCACCTCCTTCAACTCATTCCAGTGTTCTCTTTATTCTTATTTTTATTGTCCCTTATTTTTCAATCGTATCACCACGATCTCCATTCAAATTTCAATTCAACGGTTCCTTGACTTTCCAGAAGTATGATGGCACGTCTTCATTGAGGGGATATCCTGATTCCCCTATTGTCATGTGGATTCAATATTACCGTAGGGACTAGCTAGAAGCCGTTAATCCCGTGATCGACTCCTACACCGGGTTATCGACCCAGATGATCGATTACCTCGATCGATCCTCATGCAACATTTCTATCAAAATTAAATAATAACCGCACGATCCATCCAACTTCGTATCAGTACTTTTTGATACATCTCAAACGAGTTCTCCAAAAATATTCAATCAAAACTCACATTATTGTCCATTGAAAGGACATTGTGATGTTTCAAGTTCTCGCCAGTACATTTGTCATGTGAAGTTTTGCGGAGGTGTGGAAAGTTCAGCGACTGGTCTCATTAAAAAAAATGAATCACCATGAACTTTCAAGTCCCTGACCCTCGAATCACACTGAATCACCTCTTGACGTTCTGGTGCTCTGGAGCGAGGACGACACACCCTCGTCGCGCCGAGCGTCCGCTCGACCTTTTGCACCCCACCCCTCCCGGTATCAATCTTTCAACACTGTTCTTTTGATAATTGATTATCGCTATAATGATTATTATTTTGGGGTTTATCGGTTTTTTGCAAGGGGACAATTAAAAGGTGTCTCAAGACTCGACGCAGTGAGAGTCGAGAGTCGACTGAAGGCTTATGCCTTCCCGGTTATAGCGGCCGAAGGAGCCCCACCACGTTGATTTCAACAACACCCGGTCGCGTGGCAGAAACTACACCGGATACAGTGTCTCTCAAAATCATGTTTTTCATCCAGTCGACACCTGGATCCCATTTTTTGTGGGTAGATCATACGTGGGATTGTGCGCGGGTGCTTGTGGGTGGCGTTGGGAGGATTTTTAACTTGAAAAATCAATTCTTACTGAATGTGCCATTTTTTTAAATTTTGTGTGGGTTGAACGGACTCTTGAAACGACATTCACTGAAACAAGGAAATTGGTTCTGCAAAATAAATGTACATGAGATAGCTGGTAATTGTTGAAATCTATTATTTTCTTGATTCTTTCTTTCAACCAAATTTGTTTAACAGGAGATGCAGTCTGTAATTTTTTTGTGTAAGTTACCTAGACTGAGGACTCGGTTGCGAAATAATGGCGAGTTTGTAATAACGCATAACTATAGATATTGTTGTTACGCAATTCAAGTTAAGTAAAGCCAGGAGAAACCGGAGATAAGTCATACTTTGAATTTCTGAACTATATTCTACGAAAATGGTAAGAAAGACTGAGTGTAGAAGAAAATGTTGGGCTTTACAAGAAAGTTTCCGCGATATTATTCATGAGTTCCGAAATAATTACATAATTAGCAAACATATCACGCTGAGCATTTGTATTTCAAAAGAAATATTCTGTATTCTGGAAGTATCCGCGAAAAGGTGGGATTTGAACAAACGGAGTGGCATTTTAATAAAGTATATTGCTTCGGAGTTATTATCAGTTGCGATGATAATTTCTTAACCAGACCGAAGACAATTCAAGTGCAATATATTTACACATGTGAAACCGGAATTGTTCACTCTATGAGTTTAGTAATTGCAGCAAAACCCAAGAGTAATGACTGCAAAGTGCTCCTTAATTGAATCGACTTTTTTAATTGCCCCACGGAAAGGATTAAAAATCATGCCCAATTTTTTGTTCTGTCGGAGAAAATACCTCTGAAGGACAACTCCTTTCAAATCCCATCTCGATGTCCTCTGCAGTCTTGCCTTTTTCCTAATTACTAATAAATACTAGTTTGTCCTTGGCGAGTTTTTCTCCGGCGTTTACCGCTGATTTATGCTCAGTCTTATGTCACCGAACAACTTGAGAGTCGGAAAATTCCAAACGTTTTCCGCCAACGATAAACACAGGAGAAAAAAAAAACAAAAATTTCAACACTTCTTCAAATTCGCGATGTGTAATCTGGGGTTTGACAACTCAATAAATGAAAAATTTTAGCTGCCGGAAAAAAAAATTCAAACTTGGGGTAAAAATCGACGGAAATCGGCGGAAATTGGCAGAAATCGGCGGAAATCGGTGAAAAGAGTTAACTGAATTTCCAGAGCATTCACGTGATTTTGAGAGACACTTCCTTTTGTAAATGCTGAAAGCAGAAGAAAAAGGAAATAATGAGAACACCAACGACAGTTGGCTGTGAGTAATCCAGAGTTCAGGTGACCAACTCGTAATTTCCATCAAAAGCGAGTGGTAACGAGGGGGTATGGGTGTAACAACCCAAGTCACCCCTGTAATTGATGGCTCGCATATAATTTCGTGTCTGAATCACCTGCTCGAATCAGTAATTTGTGCTCTCACCCCCTGGTACCGATCGAATCTATCAATTAGTTGACGCCTGTCCATTCATTTGTCACTGATTCTTTTTTCCTTCAAGAGTGGCATAAATCTACGGAATCGACTAGTCGTAAATCGCCAGTTGATGGAGCTCTATACCTTGTGGGACGGTATGAATGTTGTTTTGATTTATAAAGATGTTTGGAGAGGCCGAGGTGGAGAGACTGATGGCATATGCTTCGATTACCGTCACGGGAGCCCAAGGGAAAGACCATTTGAAAAGATAACCGCATCGTTAAAAGATCGTAAATGTGCTCAGTCACCCCTATATATGGCACGTATACCAGGCTAGTTCTAGGTTACCCTAATATTGATCTAATGTTCGATTCAAGGGGGAGTCAGGGTTATTAAGAAATCATGACGTGGACTCATTTCTCATTTCTCATTGATTTTCTGTTAATTTATACCTCGACAATTTGGATTTTTATTGCTAGCATGTATGATCACCACTCCACTGATTTATTTCTGGAAAAATCAGTATTATGATTAATAAACCGTTGATTTTGCTTACATTCGCTCTGTAAATGATAATAATAAAGCCATTAGAAAGCGCAATTTTTTTGCTTTTCATATTTCTCCAGTGTTTGAGGACTTCATCATCGTCTAAGGGGCGAAAACTATAACGTAACTATTCCTCCCCCAAAAATTCTAGACTAATTCAAGAGCCGGTGATGAGAAAAAATACTTTTTAATTTTAATGTATGAGAATATATGGAATAATGTTTGAAATAAACCGTTGATTGATTAAAAAATTCAATTGTCGGGGGGAGAAAGTGACTGTCTCCCCAAGAGCGTGCAATTCTTCGAGTTCTACTGACGATTGAATACCAATTTTTTTCCAATACAAGAATTAAAATAACTGGCATTGAATACTCACAGGTATACCCTACATTACAGGTTTTCAAAAGGGTATCCATAAAAATTGAGAATCCCTGTAACGCAGGTTTTAACCTGGCAGGTATACGCATGCGTTTGCAAACGACAGATGTTTCCTCATCGCCAACTGTTGCTGCTTATACCGCCTATACCCTGAAGAGTAGATGCTCAGAGAATCCAGGTTCTGATTTACCGTACGAAGAAGTGAAAAAACCAGTCCCTTCATCTCACTCCTCTTATTTTTCACAATTTACTCGCCACTCATCCCGCATCAGTGCCGCAGACCAATTCTCGAGGTTGGAGTATCTCTTTGTAAATCCGTAGATAATTTATCGTCTGTGTAAACCATTTGAATCTACAAATAGACTAAACGAGAGTTTCTTCATTTCCATTACCGGAGTTTCCATTATCTTTACAACTACCGGGGGTTGAGTCCTACACTCATTGCACGAGGGAACGTGTCAAATCCGCTTGATGATGCCACTAATGATAAAGCACTGAAGACAACCGTAAGACACTTTTCCCCTTCCTCATACAGAAAAAGAGGCAGACTGTTTCATTTAATTAAAAGAAATACGAAGTTGAGAGATTTAATGTCAGAGATTGAGAGCCACCTGCTCACGGTTACTTAATTACTCTCTAATTACTGAATCCTCACAACAAAAACATTTATAAATACCAGACATTGAAGCTGTAAAACAATCGTTTGATCTAGTTTATCACTCCCTTACATTGTCATTACAATGAAAAAATAATTAGTATTTTGACCGCCAAATTCATCATCTTTCAGTTCTATTCTCTCAGTTATTAATTGGTCAGTTCTTAGATGTTTTTAGGGAATGAATAAAATGGGAATTAGGATGCCAAGTGCTCCCCCTCATTTTCTTGAACCTTGTATCGGGGGAAATAATTGCAATAACAATTATGCACACAGTGCAATTATTGAAGAAACAATATTCATTTCGATCAAGCTAAAAAAAATCATAAATCGAGTGAATCCATCGAATTGGCCCATGTATACATAATATTTACTATATATCTTTGGTCGGGGCAAGAAATATGTAGAAGAAGGGTAATAGACGATTTCGATCCTCCGCCTCTGGGTTTTTGCCAATGTCAAAGAAGGATGAGGAATTACGAGGAGCAGGTGATGGCTCTAACGATCGTGACCGGTTTCCTGCGAGTGGCGAACTTACACAGCAGTTTACTGCTGGTTAATAAGTCGTAATAAGAACTTCACTGGACGTTCAATCCGACGATAAATCTCGCGGGTTTAATATAAAATTACGGGAGAAAATGATATGCGCTGTGGCGATATGGCAGGTGTTGGCTTGCTCAAGAGGTCGACTGATTTTTCGACATCTTGTGGTACAATACCACAGACTACACCACCAAAAAAATTATCATTTGATGTCATTTCTTAGAGGTATAGGTTTTGACGATCAGAAAACAATGATTGATCGGTCCAACCAGATCAGATCGACTCATTCAAGAGCGATTAGTGAAAAATTGATGATTTTTTAATTTTTCTTCTCACCCTTTCTGCAGTGTACAAATCCTAATTAAAAACACTAATACAGCAATAACATAATGGTGCAATTGATCAAATTCAATACTAGCTAGTGCTGTTTTGGTTTTTTTTTCCTGTGATTTAGAGAGCACAACGAAATCTCAGCGCGTGAGGGGGAGGCGATTGCTTATATTAACGACGCAAGCCACCTGCCTCAGGATGGAACACGTGCTGGCCACGGAGGAGCAGCTGCTGCATTTAAGATGTACACAGCTTCTCTCTTCAATATAAAATCGAGTAAGGACGAGTTTTGGTGATAATTCTTGGGTGGAGGAAAGGGACTTGAAGGCCACGTTTTCATGCTTTTTTTTTAGACGTTTGGAGGTTTCAGGGGAGGAGAAGATTCCTGTTCCAGGATCAGCCTATTTTGGCATAATTGAAATGGACCCTTCTAAAAAAGAAGTAAAAGCACACGTACATTTTAAGAGTAGTTTTTAGGAGAGCTCTCACTTTCGATGTCAACAGCAATCAGTCATCAGTCGAACACTCCTGGGAGCAAGCTAATTTCTACTGTTTAAGTCTCTCCGTGGAGATTACTGAGGATCCTGGTGATGTTTTGATACCCACGCGCCCATTGACGAGGACAAAAGCGCAACAGATGGTACACAGGGACGCGTGGCCGATTTCTCCTTGAGATAAATGTATCCGTTTCTCTGCTCTCATCATCTCGAGGGATGGTTTCGCCTGTCAGGCACAACTTCGGGGTAACCATACGGGCAATATTCCTTCAGGATTCAAATTACAAATCACCATCGAGATGATTTCCGAAACTCCGTATATAGAAAATAAAATGAGCAGTTAGGCAAAGGGTTCTTCAGGTTTAGCGA